ACCGGCCGGGGGGGGGGTCTCGGTCCTCTGCCGCCCTTCCCTCTGCTTTCCCCGTCCCCCCAGATTTGCCCGGCAGTGAGGGCTGGCCGGGGGTCTTCGGGATCTTTCCGCCCTCCTCCCCGGTCTCCGAGGCCCCGGCAGCACCCAACCCCGCTTCCCCCCCCCGCCCCGTGTGCCCGCACGCTGCTAATTGCATCTGATGGCTGGCGCCGGGGTGGGTGCAGCTGGAGGCTCCGGCGCCGGGAGAAGGGCTCACAGCACTTCCCTAGCTCATTAAAGCACCGCCGCAGCTCAGTGAAGCGGTGTCCTTTTGTCCTCTCGCTCCTTTTCATTTTAATTGACGGAGAGGGACGGTCAGTTTGCTCTACAGAAGGGAAAGCAGGGACAGGGAAGATCCCGATGGAACGGAGGCAGCTGTGAAATCATTACAAGAGGCCTCCTGAAAGGCAGGGACTGCAGCAGCCACTCATCTACACAGAGGACCGTGAAACCAGTACTGGGGATACCTACTGAAGTTCAAGTAATGAAATAGAAAGCACTGTGCTCTGTAACAAGTGCTAGGAGACGATTAAACTAGTGGGTCAGGGATGTGGCACATCTGCTTAATGTCTTGATTTCACCCAGGACTGGACATAATGGTAGAGCAACGACCTTGGCGCGTGGTTTGTTTCTATTAAATTATAATGTCTCTCATTTAGTCCCGGGGACACTCCTCTGGGCTCCTGGCATCACATTATGATACACATCAGCTTACTGCTGCCATGACTTCTAGCACAATACAGCACTCTCAGAGGTCTTCCAAAGAGTTTTTTCATTAACAAAATCAAAGATGTCCTGCTCTGTGGCAGGCACTGCTGATGTAAACTGTTCCTGTTCAGTTTACATTTAACAGCAGGGCTGGGCAGGGTATTAAAATCATGATATGGAAAATACTGGAAAAAGTTCAGTAAGGATCTGAGCTTCAGGGGCTGTCGGTTAGCAAAAGGAGGGTGTTAATTAGGATGAAATTCTGTACCTAGGAGGAAAAATAGGTGCAAGTATGAAGTAGACATATGAAACCACTGTTTTCCTACCCAAGTAGCTGCGGGAAGGCAGAGGAGAAGATCTGAAAGGTGTTCCTGAGGGCATGTGGTACACAGGATGATAAATTTTTTTCAAAGTTATTCTGCTCCTAATGCCTTTTCATATCACAAAGTTTTGGGGATTTCCCTTTCCTGGCCCAGTGGAGGCTCTTGCTATGAAGGTGGCACTGGCAGTGAGGTTGCAGATTCACCTCTTGCTGGAAGTCAAGACAGGAGCTCATCAAGGAAGGGACAAACCAAGACCAGAAGCACAAGAACATATGAGAAATCCAGAGGCAGAGCTAAGGCAGGACACTGGAATGCCTGTGCCCTGTGCTGGAGGCAGGAGGCAGGGTGGCATGTGGATGGTCAGGGCAGGTTTGGCAGGACACACAGCCATGAAGACTTTGTCCCCATGTGCCTGGGTGTCCCCTGAGCAGCCAGTCCAGGGTAGAGCCTCACAGCATCTGGGAGACAGCAGCACCCACTGCTGAGCCATCAGCTGCTGAGCTGTGACATAGCAGTGATGCTCTGCAGGTTACACTGTTGTGATAAAGATTTTGGCAGCCTGACAGAGCACCTCTCTGTTTTCAAGTCCTCCTTCTATTCTGAGGTTCTTTGTCAAGTGTGTGCTAACAGTTCGCTGTCTTAAATGTGCTAAACTCCAAAAATACAGGTGAGGATTGCCCCAGAAACAGACCCACTGCAAACTGTGGCTGCTGCTGCCATTAGAGCAGCACCTTGTGCACTTGTGATCGATTGCCCCAGAAACAGACCCACTGCAAACTGTGGCTGCTGCTGCCATTAGGGCAGCACCTTGTGCACTTGTGATCACAGAGGATGCTGCAGGGTGTCTTCCAGTCCCAGGAAGGTTGAGCAAACTGGAGGGCTCACAGCGGCAGAGTCCAATGGAATTGTGTATTTCCCTGTCCTTTGCAGGGGGCAGCATTCACTGTAATTGCAGACCAGTATCAACCTCTGCCTGCATGGGCCAAGGTGGTGACAGAATTTAGTCTGCTCTAGAACAGATGCTCCCTGGGGACCTTTTGGCAAGCTATGGCAGCCTGGAAAAGCCTCCACAGAGTCTGGTAGCTGCAAATGGCTTTCCTTGTGTCTGCTTGCTTAATTTCTCCCTGAAAAAGAGCTGCCATTGCCATTAGACTCTCTTCTCATTGCTATTTTGTATTTTTCAGCCTACAAGGAGAAAATGAAGGAGCTGTCTCTGCTCTCCCTCATCTGCTCCTGTTTCCACACCCAGCCCCATCCTAATACCATCTACCAGTATGGAGGTACGTAACCTGCTCCCACAGGACCTACAGCATCGTTTTCATGGTGCTTCTGCAGGCAATTTGGGAGCTTGTCAGCCCACTGGGCTGTCCCATCCTGGAGCAGCAATCCGTGTCTCAGCCTGGGGTCTTTCTGTTTAGTCTCTGTTCACAGTTTATTTTATAAACGTAACCCACATTTTCCCAGGAAGAAAGTGCTTGCAAATGCTGTCTGCTTCCTACTGGGATGACACACAAGATGTTGACAGCAATATGGCCTTTCTGTAATTACGCTGTGGATTTAAATGAATTGCATTGACTTGGAGTGGGGTAAAGCTGGTCACTAATTGGGAAATTTTGGAAACAGAACAAAATCACCCATATCAGGACATGGGAACATGTTAACTCCTATGTGAATTGTTCAGTGCCCTCAGGTGAATGCTCTTCCAAGTGTTACAGGTCCACAGAGTCCCTGTTTTTTTCCCCTCAAAGATATGGAGGTGAAGCAGCTGGATAAGAGGGCATCAGGCCAGAGCTTTGAAGTGATCCTGAAGTCCCCTTCAGATTTATCTCCCGAGAGCCCAATCCTTTCCTCCCCTCCCAAGAAGAAGGACCTGTCCCTGGAGGAGCTGCAGAGGAGGCTGGAGGCTGCAGAAGAGAGGAGGAAGGTAATGAGATGTCCTGTAGAAGCAGTGGCTTTTCTGTGATGGGTACTAATTGTCCCAAACCCTAAAACTGGTTTAGCAGGAGCAATCTCCATCATCATCATCATCCTCCTGTACTTAAAACCACATGGTATTGGGTTCTCTCCGTCCTCTGTGTGTGACCTGGCTTGGGGAGGTGGTTCTTGCCACCTAATGCTGCAGGAGGTGTTGGTGTAGCAGTTGGTCACACACCCAACTTAAACTTCAAACTTAAACACAGACTTGGGTTTCTAACAGCTGGCTGTGCCACGTTTTATTGTAAGTGCTGTATAAAATGTCTTCCTGTGAAAACTATTGAAAATTGGCAGAATAACCCAAAGTATAAATGTTATGAATGTTGGTGGGTAAGAGGAGAGCAAGCTGAAATAATTCAAAGAAATAGGTGATGCTCAGGGAGGCGACTCTGTACCCAGATGAATGTCACCTTGGTTTTGCTGAGCCAGTGGGCATTGCATTGCCTGCCCACCTGGAGCACCAGACCCAGCAGACATTGCCCCATATCAGGAAAAAGGTGCCAAAGTGTCTTCCAAGCAAGAGCGTTATGGGATGGAGGGGGCAGCAAAGTGGTTTTGAGCAGAGGAGATGGTCAGAAAGCCTCTCTGGGGAGCTTTAGGCCAGAAGAGCTTCTTTGGTTGCCTTACACCTCTCCTGATGCCTTGCCTTGGCAGACCCAGGAGGCCCAGGTGCTGAAGCAGCTGGCGGAGAAGCGGGAACACGAGCGGGAGGTGCTGCACAAGGCGCTGGAGGAGAACAACAACTTCAGCCGCCTGGCCGAGGAGAAGCTCAACTACAAGATGGAGCTGAGCAGGGAGATCCGTGAAGCACATCTCGCTGCCTTGAGGGAGCGGCTCCGTGAGAAGGCAAGTGAGGTGCCCCTGGAGAGGGCTGGGTGCTGATGCCCATGGAGGGGTTTGGGGTCTGGTCACCTCAGAGTGATGGGCACAGGGGAGTGGGCGTTTCACTGCTGGTGGAGCAGCTCTGCTCTGGAGCAGTACGAGGAAAGGGGATGCGTCCTTCAAGGTCAGCAGAGAAAATACCATCTGGCTGAGCTGGGTAAGTGCAAGGTTGAAGGCACAGCATCGGGCCCACCCTGTGTCCAGGGGCTGCATGGCCAAACGGCTTTGCAGAAGAGGGAGCCATGAATGCATTTGCTGTAGGCTTGTGTCACTCCCAGGCTCCCACAGATCACACAATCATAGAATTGTCTAGGTTGGAAGGGACCCTTCAGATCATCGAGTCCAACCATGGACCTAACGTAGGCACCCTTCAGATCATTGAGTCCAACCATGGACCTAACGCTGACAAAACCCACCACTAAACCATGTCCCTCAGCACCCCGTTTGCCCGGCTTTTAAATACCTCCAGGGATGATGATTCCACCACTTCCCTGGGCAGCCTGTTCCAGTGCTTGATAACCCTTTCAGTGCAGAAATTTATATTAATACCCCATCTAAACCTCCCCTGGTGCAACTTGAGGCCGTTTCCTCCTGTACTGTCACTTGTTACTGGGGAGAAGAGGCTGATGCCCACCTTGCTACAACCTCCTTTCAGGTTTTAGGGAGTGATAAGGTCCCTCCTCAGCCTCCTTTTCTCTGGGCCAGACAACCTCAGTTCCCTCAGCCGCTCCTCTTAAGACTTGAGCAGTTTCACTCCTTGTGGGTGTAACCCACCATCCTCAGGGTGTGTTGGATGGGAAACTGGTCTCTTTTTTTTTGGCTGGTGCAAATCCTGTGTGCAGGAGAGAAGGAAAATAGAGATTGCAAGAGCAGAAAGAGTTAGCCTGGTGTCATCTCTCCCGTCTTTGCAGGAACTGCACGCAGCTGAAGTTCGCAGGAACAAGGAACAGCGGGAGGAGATCTCTGGATAAAGGGCTTTTCTACACATCTAGCACTTGATTCCTGTTAACAAACCAACCAATCGACCAACCAACACATTTTATTTTGTTTGTCTAGATGCAACATTCAGTTCTCCATCCCCCCCTCCCCTGGTGTTTGTCCCCCAGCTACACGCTTCTCTATCTCTGCATCCTTGATCGTCAGTACTTGTGGGGAGTCACAGATCATAGGGATCTCTAAGCAGAATAGCAACTAGCTCACATGAAACAGAGAATTGATCAGTCAATCAAACAGCTTCTTTGGAGGGTTTTGTCCTTTTTTAATAAAAAAATTTCTTAAACTGATGTAAAAAAAAAAATTAAGATACTAATAAATTCAACCAGCAGTGTCACAGAGATACGGATTTCTTATCCGGGGCTTTCACTCCTCTTGGTGTTTGCTCTGAGCCAAATATCAGTTTCAGAAAAATGGGAAGTGATAATTTCTGTGTGTGAAGTGGAATAGGGAACAGCCCTGCCTTTGCCAGTGGTAGGAGAGAGGGACGAGAGGAACGGGATGGCTCAGGAGTCGTGGTGTGCAGACCCCCTATCTCTTGGCTCTATCTGGAGCCAGCCCAGGCAGGCAGTGACCCAAACTCCTCATCCTAGGATGGTTCTTCGATAGCCCAAGTGGAAGTAGGTGAAGGTCTCCACCCAGAGCTCGGTGCCAGGTGCCACCCCGCAGAAGGTCCCTGTCATGGCAGGCACTGCCTGGTGCCCCGGTTGGCCACGGGCTGGAGGAGCTGGTAGACTGAGCTGCCCTCTCCCTGGCAGAGCAGGGACCGAGTGGTCTTGGCCGAGCAGACCAGGAGAACCATGACAGCGATTGCATCCCCGGCTCCACAGGAGCCCTGGGAGAGGAAGCTCAGTCTGCAGGCTCTCCAGTGCTCCCAAAGCATGAGGTTTCACTCTAGGAAGAAAGCAAATCCAATAGACACGGTGCGTGGTTGTGAAATAGCTTTTTAGCGAACAGAACAGTCATCCTTCCCTCTTTCCAAAGACAGATGTGACTCTTTGGTGCCATTACTGAGACCAGAGATCGCCAGATGAGCCCCAGAGCTCTGGCTCTTAGGCAGCACTGGGAGGCAGAGCAGCCCAGCTGTCTGCTTGGTGCCTCCAGACCTGTGGCTTTGGATGAGAGGGAGCTAAGAGGGGAGTAGTTCTTCAGTGAGGGTGAAGAGATGTCCCCGTGCTTATTCTTTGTCTTTCTTTACCTCTTCAAGGCCCATTTTTAAGAAAAAATTGTCTCTTGATTGAGGTAGGGATAAGCAAAGAACATGCAAGCATGGCAGTAATGTTGGATCTAAGTAGGTGACTGTCAAAGCCCATGGACCTCCTAATCTGGTAGAGTCATGGCTTATGGAGGTAGCCAAGGTCCAAGCAGCCACCGTGCACTGCAAGGGGCTGCCACCCTCCTGCTGAGACCCACAGACCTGCTCACCTGGCCCAGCTCTGCCCCTGCTTTGGAAAACCAATTGGAAATGTTGCATCTGAAGAGCAGGGAATGGCCACCTCCCGGCAAGCGGGGCCTCGTGGGACACAGTGCTGGGGACTCAGCCCTGCAGGAGCACGGTCCTCCAGCGAGGTTTTGCAGAGCAGATGGTGGAAGCTGCTTTCATTTGAAGCAGAAGGTAATAATTCCCATCTGTCCAGTGCTTAGAGATTGCTGGTTAACACCCTGGTGCAGTGTTTTGGGGACAGGGCACAGGGTGGTGGTTCCACCAGAGCATCCCCTCCGCCTCGCGGTGGCCCCTGCGTCCTGGCTGCCCTCTCAGACCCTGGAATAAACTGAAGGGGCATCCAAGGCACTGAGACATTTCATTATTAGTAGTTGGTGTCCTCTGCACACTCTACCTCCAAAGAGCTGTTCTGTGGGTGGGATGAGGGCCTCCTGTGGTGGGCTTTGCAGGGTCCTTAGGGGGTGCAGACGTGGCCACGGGCACAGCCCAGCCAGGGGCTTCCAGGGACCATTCTCTGCACGGTGGTGCCAGGCAGCCACGAGGAGCTGGAGCAGATGAGGGGTTTGCACGGGGAATAACGATCCCTTTGACTCTCCTTCCCTCTGAAACAGAAATCATCACCCAATTTTGTCAGAAGTTGAAGTTTTCTGCCTACCCTGTGTTTTAATTAGGTAAAGAATTGATTATGGCCCGGAGTGAGCATCAGGCGGTCGCAGAAACCCCACGGAAAGCCAAAGAGCAGCAGCTGCTGGAGGTCAAACCCCAGAGCTCTTTGCTAATTTCCCCACAAGTCCCAGAAGTATTCAGGAGAGATCCCTCGATGGCCACGGTTTGATTTTAGGGGACACTCTGCTCCTAAAAGGAAGGGCTACCTTACCCCCAGTCCCCTCTGCCCAGGCCGGGGGGAGGACAGGACTGTTAGAAAGCCCCAGCGCTGCCCAGTGATGAAAAAAAAATAATAATAAAAAGATTTGGGGCTAAGAGGAAGGAAACTGAGGGTTGAATTTCTTAACAGTAGCTAATGATCAGTTTATAGTAGCAGCTGTCTTAGATAAGCATCTGTGTAGAGCGCGGCATCACCGCCAGCATCACCTCATTCATATAGTGACGAGAAATTTTAAAAAGTTTAAAAAAAAAAAAATTTAAAAGTAATTTAAACGAAATGTTTGTGTGTAAGAAATGGTTGAAACTGTCAAATGTCTGTGTCCCGCGTTGGTGGGATCTGAGAAGGTATCTGCGAGATATTAACCCTGTCCTACTTTCTGTGGTGCTGAGTGTTTGCTTGGTGTGTAATTCTGACCTGGAGCTTGTTGTAAATACTGTTTTTAGTACTATGATTATTATGATTATTATGATGATTATTATCAGAAATGTTGTACTCATGAGCAGGAGTTTAAAACAGGAGAAATGACCATTTTCACTCCCTCCTTGGGGCTCAGAAGGAGTCGGAGGCTGGGCTGGGTGAAGGCTGGGTGCCCATGGGGGTGGGATGCTGGACCAGAGAGCAGCTGGAAAATCATGGATTTGGGAGCTGGAGGCAGCTGAGTCCTGCAGGCAGGGCGGTGAGAGCAGGGATGGGCTGCTCCTCGTGCTGGGAGGAGAAGGAAGGGCTGAGTGGTGGAACAGAGGTGATGCTTCAATTCTGGTACATGTAATTTGGGCTAAACCCAAAGCTCCTTGTGTGAGGGGGTCCAGGCTGTTCCCTGCAGCCCCAGGGGAAGGTGGAGGAGCTGTGAGGTTTGGTGTGTGCTGGAGGAAGAGCCGTCGGTGGCAGGTTGTGCTGGTTAGAGCCATCCTCCCCAAACAGCTACTGAGTCTCTGGACTCGGTTCCTGCCTGGATCTTCCATCTTGGTCCTTTGTGCTGCCCTGTGCCCACTCTCCTTCCCCTCCCTGGAGGCCAGCCTGGATCTCAGGTGGGGATTTCTTCTTGCAATAGCTTTGTCTGGCAAAAAAAAAAATCCCATGGCAAACGCACAGGAGAGTGGCCCGGCACCCGGTGCTCATGCGGGTGTGAGCACTGGGAAACTCATTTCTCTCATCTCCGTCGGGTCGGTGCTGTGAGGGACAGTGGATGTGGCTGGAAAACGTGTCAGTGCAGGGTGAGCTCCTGCCCCGGAGGAGCAGGGATGTGCAGGGAGAGTTTTGCATCAGTAATGTCAGGGGAGCAGCTCTGTTACTGCTGCAGAGACACGTTGTGCTGAGGAAACAACCTCATCCCTGGGGCCGGATGCTTTAGGTGCAGTAGAGCCATGTTTGCCTGCTGCAGGTGAATGGAGCAGGGATGGGGGGAGCTTGGCATTTGCCCGGTGCCACTGGGCACTATCAGGGAAACGTGTGGTTGCTTTGGCTGCCGTGCCCCAGCTCCTGAGGTTTTGGCTGGACGAGGGGTCCTGCCCAGCAGCACGTGGCACAGCCCGGGATCACAGTTATTTCATGCCTTTCCATCTCCCAGGGCTGCTAATGGTTGTGTGTAGCAGCATACTTCATGCCTCAAATGAGACTAATTAAGTATCCTCATTAACATCCTTACTGTCCCAGCCTCCCTCCTTCCTGGACCTTTCCCACATACCGCAGTCATGGACATGGCATGTGACCCCCCAGTTCCCGGGGCCCCCTTCCTTATGGCAGGGCTTGAGGTTCTTCATTGATTCCCGTAGATGTTTATTAACCGAGCTTTGTAACGACAGTCAGCAGCCCCGTTTTTGCAGAATTTTGTGCCTGGTAGGAAGAGCATCCTTGAGGCAGCCGACAGCATCCCTGCCCGGACCAAGAATGTTTTTAGTTTTGTGAGGGAGGAAAGAAGAGATGGTGACAATTTATTACGCGCACGCAGAGACCTTTCAAAGAGCTCTCCTGGAGAAGGGCCTCTGATTTGAGCAAACCAGAGAAGCTGAAGCTAAATGAGTTCCCAGCTGGGCGAGGAGCGAAGCAAGAGCTGGAACAACTGGCCTCATATCCCAGATTAAAGCTCTGTGCTCACGTTATCCCTTACAGCAAAGAGCTCAGCTCTGTCCCTAAATGGGTGCTTTCAAGGGTGCTGGCCCCTCAGACTGCTTCCCGACTGAGCCTATTCCTTCTCTTATTATTTTCTGAGTCATTCAAAAATCTTGCTCTAACCCAGACATGGGATTACCTTTGAGTTGACCTTCCAGGGACGGCGGCAGATCACGATTGCATGCATCCTACCTTGGGGGTAGGTCGGTATCGCTGCTCCTTTTTAAAATGTAACCTTCAGCTTGCTTTTTGCTTTTGCTTAGCCCGGCGTGACTCTACTCTCTGGCCCTGGCTCTGCAAAGCCTGTCTCCTGGGGTTGGTTCAATCCCGTCCCGCCGCGTTCCTTCCTTCCCTCCCTCGCGGTGGCTGTGCACCCGGCTGTGCACACGCGCACGGAAACGCACACCTGGGGACCATATATGCACATCCACTCTTAAACCACTTGAAATGAGTCAGGGAACGGCTGTTTACGGTGCTAGAGATTTCTTACTATCCATGCTAGGGATGAGATGACATAGTAAGACCAATAAACTCCACCTTTGTAGTCAGTTTGTCTAGAAGTAAAGCAGAAGAGGGGCACTGGCCAACGCCTACGTTTGGGAGCTCCGTGGTCCCCCAGGGGTGCAGGGAGGCAGCAGCCCCCACCCGCTGTGGGGATGATGGGATTGGAGCACGGGGGGGCAGCCGGGCAGCCCAGCCCCAGCATCCCCCCGTGCCTCAGTTTCCCCATTGCCATGACAAGGGGACACCGACGCTCCCTACCCCACGGGGACCGCGGGAGAGCCAACGCATCCATGTCTCTAAAGTGCTCTGAAAATGGAAAGTACCAAAGTACAGAGTTGTGGTACCCAATTATCCACCCCGGGTGGAGTAACGTGGCCCAGGGCTGCAGGCAGAGGTTTGGAAGATGACTGCGTGGCCGCAGGGCTGGGTCCTAACCCCGGGGCTGAGCACCCCGGCTGTCCCTCCCTGGGCAGGATTCACTCCTCCTGCCCCAGCCTGGGCCACCTTTTGCTCCTGCCGGGGTGGGGGGCAGCGGGGTGGGGACCTGGTGTGGTGTCACAGAAAGACTTTCCATCACTAACAGAGCCTTGTTGTCCGGTTCCCTTCGGTCTACCGCGTGCATTTCATTGTCAACTTGAGGTTGTTGTTGTGCAAAAGAAGTGATTATGAAAATAAAGAAAAAAAAAAAGAAAAAAAAATGAAATAAACTTGGTATGAAACCAGATGTGTCCGTCTCTCTCCATAAATGGATTGTTTTAGTTCTGAGGCTTCTCTTTGTACTGTGAGAATACCAATAAAATGCATTAAATGGAAAATTGACCTAAAGATTTAACGGGATAGACTTTAAGCACCTGTATGCTAAATAAGTACTTTGCACCCAGCGTAAAAGATGTGGAGATTCATAGTTTATTGCCATTCTCAGAGGGAAAAAAATAATAAAATGCCTAAATGAGGGTATTGCTGACATCCCTTGCAGGAAGCAAGGTGAGGGTACGCAAAGTCTTTGCAGTGGAAGATTGAAAAAACATAAGATAATTGCAAATACAATAAATCCAGTTCTGGAAACCACGTGAGCTTCTTTTTTTAAAAGAAATCCAGTGTTTGCTTAATGAGCTTTTCCTGAGAAACAATCCAGCCTTCCCCTTGGGCTGGACACGGGGAGGGAGGGAGCGGGGCTGTGGTTCCCAAGGAGAGGGGACCCCAACCTGTGAGACCTTGCATGACCCACACTCAAAATCACATCCTTGGGGCCAGATACACAAAAATGCCCCCCAAAAGCACAACCGAAAACAGGGAGGTTTGTAACCCATGGGGACACCCGAGGGGAAAGGACCCGGCTGTGGAAGGGATTCCCCACCTCGGTGTAGGAGAAGATAAACCGAGGGGAGGGCAGAAGGTGGGAAATTTTAATTTCTATACACAAAAATGCCCCCCAAAAGCACAACCGAAAACAGGGAGGTTTGTAACCCATGGGGACACCCGAGGGGAAAGGACCCGGCTGTGGAAGGGATTCCCCACCTCGGTGTAGGAGAAGATAAATGGAGGGGAGGGCAGAAGGTGGGAAATGTTAATTCCTGGGGCAGCTCTTCTGTGCCAGCGGGGAGGACGGTGCTGGAGCCATCCCGGTGGTGGCTGAGCAGCCTGTGCCTGATGCTCGTCCCGACACTGCCGCCCGCACAAACAGGAATTCTATTTTTGCAGCGTGACCTTCCCGATTTTAGAGATAACGACCTAATGGTAAACACAGCATCGCTCGCTTTTCTTCCGAGATTTGCTATGGGCCACTAGCCCAGGCTCTTCAAAAAAGTGGATGGAGTAAAGTAAGCCTCTGCGTTTGTCTTAGGAAAACAGTCACGGTGCCTCGGTGCCACCAAATTGAAGATATATTAGAGACACCAAGCGTGGTCACCTCCTAACTAATTAATTCAGGTCAGATCCTTCATCCTCTTGTGATCTGAAAGAGAAAACCCCTTTCAGAGGAATGGGATGTTTTGGGGAGTGGGAGGGCAGGAGGAGCAGACAGGTTCTGCAGAGCCTCCCACCGCCCTGGAGCATCTGCCCAGGCGTGCAGCCCTGCGGGGCATGAGAAAGTCTTGGATCAGATTGTATCACCCACCAAAACGCCTCTTCTGAGACCAAAACCTGTCCGACAAAGCAAAATATCGTAACTTGCTCTTGGAAGGACCCCTGCAAAGTGCTCGAGCTGCGTCTGAGCGCGGGGAAGGGAAGAGAATGGTGACTCCAGCAACATAAATGCAAAAGCACACCTGGGCCGGCAAAAAAATTATATATATTTGCAGAGTAATTTGCTAAAAGTTTGAAAAATAACAAGCTGTCCTTTCTCAGCAACCTCCCGGCCACTAAGGCTGCGAGGAGCCTGCCTGCTGATAAGGGGAGAGACTGGGAGCAGCGGGCAGATAAGGTGCCAGGAGGTGAATTCCTCCCGGCTCTGGCTGCTGGGGAGGAGCCCGGGGAGGTTCCCATTGCCCAGCATCTGACAGCAAAAGGTTTTGCTTTCCAAGAGGCCACTAGCTGCTGGGAAAACTGGAGCAGGGCAGCATTGCTGTGGGTTAGCCACCTTCTTACCACCTTTAGAACAGCTCTGCCACTGGGCACCGTTGGGAGCCGGTTACGGTGGCAGAGGGACCTTTTATCTGCCCCGTCCAGCCCCACTCAGGTCCCGAGGAAACAGCTGCCCCAGGGAGCTGCTGGCTGGGACGTTGGTAGAAATACAGACAGGCTTCCACAGAAAAGGGTGTCACCCCTTCTAGCAGGTGAATTAGCATTGCTGGTTATCTCAGAGAAGGAAAAGAAACACAATTCCTTGCAAAACATCTCACTTTCATGAGTATTAGCTTGGTAAACTGGAAAGTGAAAAGGAGCAGCGTATCGGGCGGGGTGGGTTTGGATGGGGAGGATGGAAAAGAAAAGGAAGAGGCTTGGGAAGAACAAGCACTAAATAAACCACTACAAATCTATCAGACAGAAATTCATGTAAAAATTGCTGCTGACCAGAGCGAAGGCGCGTGCGATGGGCCAGCCACGCCACCCGAACGCAAGGCAGGAAAAGCCACTCGCCCAGTAGCTGTGAAAAGCCAACAGAGAAACACATCGAGAGCGTTTCCAAAAAGGGACTTTTCGGGCCTCTGGTCCGGCTCTTCCTTTTTCAGAACGTGTTAACCACCCACCGGCAGAAAAAGTGCCATGTGGTCAGATCGTGCGAAAAGCCCTCCCTGAAAAATCACTGTGCGTCACTCAAACCCCAGACCTCAGGGACACAGCTGGCAGGAAAGCCCAGAAATGGCAAAAATGACACCAAAACCTCTGAGAGCTCGAGGTGGCTGGGGGAAAACCCCCCTGAGCAGAATTGCAGCACGGTATTTAGTGCTGATACACAACAGCCTTGGGCGCAGCAGTTTGGGGACGGCTCCTGGGCAGAAAATCCCTGTTCCTGGATCAAACAGCAGCAGGGCAGCCTGAACACATCTCACCCCCCGGCACTGCATGGTGTCCCCTTCCTTCTGGGGGACAGTTTGTACAGGACACCCACCCAAGGGTCTGCAAAGCTCGGGGACAGCTGGCAGACACCTCGGGTAGGAGGGAGGTGACGGAGCAACCATCCTTGAGCTGCATGAAAAACCCCCACTGCTTCGAAACAGACACGGCTACTTTCTCCTCCAGGTGCAAAACACATCCTTCTATCTCCCTTTTTATAATTCATGGAATCATGGAATTGTCAGAGTTGGAAGGGACCTCTAGAGATCATCCAGTCCAACTCCCTGCCAAAGCAGGGTTGCCCAGAGCACATCACTCAGGAGCATCCAGGTGGGTCTTGAAGATCTCCAGAGAAGGGGACTCCACACCCTCCCTGGGCAGCCTGT